GGGGTCGACTTGGGAGGAAGGCCACAGGTGGATGGTGAATGGCCTCTCCCAGAGGAAATAAAAGAGGAGCAACAGGGGAGTGGAGTTTGCAGGAGACAATTGGTTCGCTTAATTGGTTCGTGACTCTCTGAGACTCCTGGCCAAGTTGTGCAGATATCAGCCTGGCAGCTCTCCAAGCCAGAGAAGGTCTGTGACTGTAAATCCTCCCTTGAAAGGCTGGATAAAGTAAATAATAAAGTAAATTAATAAAAGGTTTTTTTTTGTCGGGACAAGAAGTTTGCTTCATGCTCTTGGGAAGCTTAGGTCAGAACACTGATTCTACAATTGCTCTTTTGAGTAAAGCTACTCTCTCCACGGCTGACAACTAAACCCGAGCCGTTTTTTCCCAAGGGGAACATTTACCAGACCTGCGGTCCCATTTCAAGCCCTCCCCAAACCAGCCAGACCCCAAAAATTCCCTTGTTCGCTGTCTCTCTTTTTTCCAGAAAACAAACTTTTTACTAAACCACTGTCTTTTCTCTCTCTCTCTCTCGTTTCTCTCTTCCAACCAGAGAAATTTTTTTAAAAAATGGAATTCTGCTGAAATGTTCACAAGGTCCTCCCTCCATCCCAAGGACAGGGGAGGGTTATTCTATCCCACTTCCAAGTTGTTCTCTCCCCCGGGGGAATAAGGAGACAAGGTGGAGTCATCGGCCTGGCGTTACGGGTCAAGGAACTGATGCTAAGAAAGGGTGGGTTTCATCCAGGATGAACTACGGATCCGGTTGTGCAGGACCTGTCCAGATCTGGCAATTGGCGATTCTTGGTGGACCGTTGGCTGGGGAAGTCCATGAGAGCATCGGACTCCATTTTTCATATCTGTAGAGTTGTGTCCTTTTTTATATTCGATTGTTTCTCCATCATGGGACAGGCGTTTCTGCAACGGAGAAGGGGGGGAAAAAAGAGACCAATGGGATTTTCACGCTCTGAACTAAGTTTATTCTGTCCTATACCTTTCCTTCCTAAGCAGGGGGTTGGACTAGAAGACCTTCAAGGTTCCTCCCAACTCTTCTATTCTCTTCTCTATTCTCTTCTCTCTTCTTTTCTCTTCTATTTTCTATGCTATGCTTTTGCTATTCTATTCTATTCTATTCTTTTCTTTATTCTCTGCTATTATCCATTCTCCGCTCTCCTCTCTCTTCTTCTATTTTCTATGCTATGCTATGCTATGCTATTCTGTTCTATTCTCCATTCTATTCTATTCTCTCTTCTATTCTTTCTTCTCTTCTATTTTCTATTTTATGCTATTCTATTCTATTCTATTTTCTATGCTATAGCAATAGCAATAGCAGTAGACTTATATAGCAATAGCAGTAGACTTATATAG